GAGATTGAATTTTTACTGTCAATTATTTCCAAGTATAGTTTGTGTGTGTGTGTGTGTGTGTGTGTGTGTTGCTTCATCTCAATTAGGTAAAGCATTTTTTTCTTCCAACTTTTTGTAGATGAGATGTATCATTTATATTGGTAAAATTGTAACTATTGTAATACTAGTTTGTGGAAGTTAAAAGATAAAGCCAGATCTAAGAACTCTTAGAATTTTGTTTGTACCATTTTTCTTATGAATAATACATAGTAGAATTTCTAGAAATGCTTTATAATGATTTTTCACGCCATAGGGTTTGTGCCTACTTGAAATTACTCCAGAGTAGTCTTGACCCTGTAGTTATTTCTCAGATAATTTTGACAGACTGCAGTGTATAATTTTTTATCTTAAGTTTATTCATTTGAGAATACTTATTGGTTACTGTGCTTAGTGTCTTTAAAATTAGCCAAGCTCTAAAATCCATAAAATAATATCACAAAATTCTAATGAAGTACCTTTAATATTTACCTTTAATATTTGTGTGATATAATTTCCTTTTAAGGCATAATTTTCACATTTGCTGTATATGTAGAGGCAAACTTTTTATACTTTTAAGATAAGACCAGTGATGAGTTTCTTAAAGTGTAGGAATAATAAGCAGAATAAACTTTTTTTTCCAATTTTGTTTGTAATGATGATTTAAAATTTTATACTCAAACTTTGAATCACAGGATCAGAATTTTACTGCTCAAGAAGTTTTTACAAAATGCATGGTTTAAGCACTAATGTTTTATAGGTACGTTTTACAGAATAGGCCTGTGACTAAGTGCTATAGAACCCCACACCACCTATATAGTCACGAGACTTCTTCATAGAATTAATCCCTGCCCTACTGTCTTATATAGGGAACAATTAGTATTGGCCCAAATGAGGGCATAACATAAACATTTTCATTGAGGGTAAAAGTAATAACTTCCTATTTGACAAAATCTTCTTCTTAAAAGTTTCCATCTGATGGGAAGTAGTTCAGTGATAGAGCACTTGCTTAATATGCATGAGGCACTAGATTTGATCCCTTGCACTAAAGAAAAAGAAAGTTTTGTTTTTCCATTCAGAAAAAAATAGTGGGGAAATTTACTGCCAAGAAAAGAAATTACCCTTCAAAATTCATATATATTTTTAAATTTTTATTTATTTGTTTACATGAGCTCTCATTATTTTTTGCATTACAATTCTTAATACACCTTTTTACCACAATTTATCATATCTCTAGTATTAGTTTGAAAAGGAAAGTCAAACACAGCTTTATAAAAACTTCAGTCTCGGTCACCTACACAAGGTTTTATTGCAAGCAAGCATTCTAATGAAAAATCGAAGTAGTATGGATATAGTTGAACACTAATCCTCAGCTAACTGTCAATGGGAAGAAAATTTAGGTTTTCAGGAAAAATATACAAAATAACATCATTTTTAGTTGCATATGATACTCTCACATATAACTTTATAATGTCTTTACATTTCTCTTAAACACATTGCTAACATATTCTAAGGTAATACAATCAAGATAAAATAGGCTAATTTCTTGTGAAATATTTTATTAAGAAAATTTTTTTGGTATCTGGGATTGAAGTCAACAGCATTTAGCCGCTGAGCCACATCCTATCCCTTTATATATATATTTTTTATTTTAAGACAGGGTCTTTCTAAGTTGCTTAAGCTGGCTTTGAACCTGCAATTCGATCCTCCTGCCTCAGCCTCCAGAGCTGTTGATATTATAGGCATGTACCACCATACCAGGCTCTTATAAAATATCTTAAAGCCTTTGCTGATTTTATATTTTACAAAAATTATGGATTTTTTCCATCTTGTTCTTTTTTAGTAATGCTTACTTATTGTCAAAAACAATTAATATTTGTAATAATTTTGTGAGGTAAAATATCAAGTCATACAGTTTAAAGAAGTGTCATAATCCTCAAGTTTTCCTTTTTGAACACTTAGTAGTAAATAATTTGAAACAAATCATTTAAAATGTTTGCATCTCTTTTTCTGCAAAGCAAAATTCTTTTAATTCCCTGTACAATAATGCATTGTAAGTTGCCCTCCTCCTCCTTTTTAGCAGAGAAAAGGAGCCAAATGTTAGGGAGAGAAATGGCACTTCTAGGTCAGTGCCTACTGCTTGGTTTACAAGGCTTATGTATTTAGGTGCAATGGCGCAGTGCTACTTTCTGGTCACTCAGCGCAAATAGGTCTCACAAATGTGTTCCAGATGCTGATTTGTCCTATAAGGGCATGTGTTGCTGTTATACTTGCTGGTGACGCTAGGCTATCAATTAAGAAATTAGTTTATGTTTAATGTTCTTTGTCTGATATCACAGAAAACTGATGATGTGGTTTCTAAGAGAACAAAAGCATATTCTTAACACAGTTTCTGTTATTAAAGAAAAAGATAAATCAGTCTTTTAACAGTTTCAAAATTCAAGATTTACTTAAACTACATAAATGATACAATATCAAACCATTTAAATTAAAGTTGTCAAGATATCAGTTATGGGGAAAAGATTTTCTGAGAATCTACTTATGCAGTGATAATTGTATTATTTGTAGAATGTTATATAGCATATTTTTCAGGAAACTAGGAAGCACTTTACTTCTTTGTCATAAATTTATAGTACTGAAACCTGCAAAAGTAACATTTTTAAATTAAAACATTCTCTTATACTTTTTAAAACACAATTTAAAATATAGATAAAAATGGATATAGATGTAATGTGATGCTAAGTTTGAGACCCCTCTTGAGTTTCCTTTTAAAGTGTATCAGAAAATTAATATTTTGATATTAACTTACTGAATTCTACTATTAATAGTAATAACTATATAAACTTCAAAGTAAAATGTCATAAATCATTAAAATCTCAAACTTCCTATTTAACATAGAAAAATTATTTACAAAAATATTGTTTCTTTACTTTTTTTTAAACTCTGCATCACATGTCTTTTTTTGTTTAACATTTTGAATTATATAAGCTTTGTGTTAAATGCAATAGTTTTCCAAATTAGTAATATATTTAACACAGCAGTCCAAAGATAGTCTTCAAAAACTTGCATCCCACTAAAAGAATCTGTCCAAATGATTTAATTTCTATTCTAGGTAACATTTACCTGGTACTGTATTATGTACAGTGGCACATGAGGATAGCATATGCTTGTGAAGTCAGGGTTTCTCTGATCACCCAGTCACTCTGCTTCCTCACTCCTTTAGATTCTCTGCATAGCACTCATACTAGGTTTTTATTATTTATTTACTGGTCTATTTTTTGCCTCCACCTTCCTAAGGTAAAGTCCTTGAGAGCAGGGACTTATCTATCACCTTTTTCCCAGGGCCTTTGATTCCTGGCACACAGGACAAGCTCAATAAATAACTTGTTGAATGTAACTGGATAGCTAGCATTGGTGGCATAAAATCATCACCTTGTTCTCTTATTAAAATAAGGAAATCACCATACTAAAATGATAAATTATTTTTATTTATAAATGTGTTATATCCTTAGCACCTGACCTGAACACAAATCCATAAGTTTTTAAAGCTCTTTTAAGCTATTTAAAACAGGGAATACAGTTTTCAGTGAGTAATTTGAAATTTACCACTCATTAATACATTGAGGGTGTTATTTGTGGAAGGTCAATGGCTATTGGAATATGGAGATATAATATTTAGTTATTACCTCTGAGAACACAGTGGTCTGGTTTGGGACTAGGCAATAATACATAACTGTTAATGAACAGAAGGGAGATGTGAAATTGTTAAATTATGTACATTCTGATTGACTTCTGTCAGAGGGCAAAGATAGATAACCCTTTTAGTTGTTACAGTTAGAGGCTGTGCAGTAGCTATAATTTAAGATGAATCTTTAAGGACAAGGGTTTAAATGGATGAAGAGGAAACATGAGTGAGGCCTTTCAAGTGGAGAGGATAGTAAATTAGGCAAGAAAATGTAAGGTGCTTTTTATTTGTTTTGTTTTGGTTTTTCAGTGCTGGGGATTAAACCCAGGGCCTCATGCATGCTAGGGCAAGTACCCATAAATGCTCCAACACTGAGCAAGATCCCTAGCTCCTAAAGTTGTTTTTTTTTTTTTGTCCTGTGCGTAGTAAATGCTCTGTAAATGCTCATTGAATTCCATTTATTTTGGAGATCTTCGAATTCTCCACTAAAGCGCTTAAAGTGGTGTTTCTAGGGTCCTCTGCAGAGCAACAAAGCAAATTTTACCACTTGAAACCAATATCCTTACAAACTCTTTTAGTACTATGTGATGCCATTCCTATAATTCTTGAGATCCATTTTAGAAAAATTGTGTCCTGAGTTTCAGGATAATTTGGAATGGAAAAAAACTGGTAGAGCCTTTATCCTGAGGGTTTCTGGAAGACTTCTGGGAAGAGAATCAAGAAAACAGTATTTTTGTGTGAAATTTACCTAGGAAAAGAAAGAAAATTTTTTGATAATATCAGAATGTTCAGCTTTTGGAATATTAACATTGTGAAGTAAAAAGGATCCAAATTAGATGGCCTGTATCAGGAATAGAAATGGAATCAAATTCTACATCCCAGAAAAAAAGGATGAGATTGGGAATTTAAATAGAAATTGTGAAAAAGCCAGAGAAGATTTATGCTGTAAAAATGAGTCAGGTCTCCATGCCTTCCTTTCCAAGTGTCAACGAGTTGTTTTGCAAAAAATTATTTCTCCTCCCAGTTTTAATGTTTACAGCCTTACCTGCCAGTTTTCATGCTTGCTGTCTAAAATGACACATACCACATGATTTCAAAATAATGGATTAAGTCTTCCAAATTTGTCATGGTAGGAATGATTTTTAAAGCTATTTAGAGAAAATATTTTTTATTTTACTTAGTAGATGCTTTATTTAAAGATTAGAACAGTAGAGCAAGAAGTAGCCTCAGAGAAACAGTGCATTAAATCAATTAAGTAAGAATGTATAGAATAAATGGGAATATCACCTCTCTCTTGCAGGTAACCCTGGCCTGCACAGTCCCATGCTGGATTTTGATAATGATGTGCGACCTTCTGTGTTGGGCCACCTCAGTCAGACAGCATCACTAAAGAGAGGCAGCAGCTTTCAGTCTGGTCGAGATGACAGTAGGTGTCAACACCCCTCTCCCTCCCCAACACACACACACTTACTTGGTCTTTTAAATCTGTACTCATATGATTTCAAACTTTCTTCCTTTTCTTGGAAAATTCCATGATTTAGTGATGTAACTGGTATGAAATATTATCAATTCTTACCTCTTGTGCTTATTAAGTAACTGTGCAGTAATTAAATTTAATTGATAGGGTCTTTTTTTCCCTTTTCCTTGTGGTTTACTCAGTGCTTTATTATAGAGTCAATTTAAACTTTTCTGACCCCCCCCCCCCCCCTTTTTGGTGTTACTGTGGATTGAACCCAGGGCCTTGTGCTTGCTCAGCAGATATTATACCGCTGAGCTACATCCCAGCCCAACATTAGTTAATGTTCAACCTAAAAATGTCAGGTACTATATTTCTCATCTTTTCAAGTTCTTTTCTTCTTTGTTTGCTCTAAATTGAACCTAGGGCTAAGCATATGCTCTATTACTGAGTTATACCCCCAGCTAGTCTTTTTAAAATCTTCCCTTCCTTTGTTATTTTCATGTTTTCCCTTAAGTATTTGAAGATAGTTATACCTTTAAGATATTATAATATGAATATTACACCATAGATATTATATTATAAATTATAAATATGATATAAAGATATCTGTTAATAGCTATTAATTTCATTATCTGTATCATTTCTGGATCTGTTACTGTCAACTAATTTTTCTTCTTTCTTCTAGCTATGATTCCCATTCCCTTGCTTTCGGGTATTTCTAATGATTTTTGTGGTTGTTAGTGTTTGTCACACACTGAATGTTCAGTGGTGAGTGTCTGGGTTTTGTTGTCTTCTTGTAAATAATGCTAGCCAGGCAGTTAAGATTAATTCAGTTCTATCATGGCCTGTGTGATATCTGAAAATTGTTGAGTTTATAATTTCCTAATTGGTCTTTACCTAGCTTTGTGAAGTGTTTGAACTCCAAATATGCATGACCTAGTCCTCAGCAAAAAAAACTTAAGAGAATCCCTATACAGATCTGAAGCTTTATTTATTTGTTTGTTTATTTATTTATTTATTTATAAATACCTAGCCCCTTTCTGTCCTGAACTCTCCCTGCAATTTCTAGTTACCCCAGCCTCCTTAACTCAGAAAGGCCACTGAGCTTTATTTTAATTCCTCCTCCTTTGCCTCTTTATTCCAGAAACTGGCCGCAAGCAGGAACCCTGAGTGATGATGGGCTTACTACATGTATTCCCACCCCAGGGATCACAGACCTGTGCTGCCTGCTATCAGTATCTGAAAACAGTTATTTCATAGGGGTTTGCCATTCTCAATGCTGGTCTAGTTATTTATGGCTGGAGGTTAAGTCTAATTCTTATTACTCTAGCATGGCTAGAAGTGGAAGTCAAAAAAATCAAGTTTAATTTTCTTAAAGTTATATTTTGAAATTGTAACATTATGAAGGATTGCTTATAATAAACCATGGATATGAATAAATTTGAATAGATTCTTTCTCAACTTTGTGGTCAAAGCAACCTACATATTTTGTGATTTCTTTTGGGAAAAAATATGAATGTTTCTGCCATATGTCCTTAATTCCTTTCTTTATTCAAAGGCAGTTATTACTCTTGATGTTATTCTGTCAGTCATATATCATGTGACCCTTAACTAATCATGTGACCTTTAACTAAGACTTGTTGGAAAAGAAAATCCAATTATTATTCAGTTATAATGATAAGAATTTGGATGAAGTACACTTAGAAGGAATGGGGGAGAAAGGAGTCTATTACATATACATGTATGTAAGAAGAATTTACACGTAATGTAAAGGTAAGAATTATTCTCTGTCACTGGGCAGGAGGTGCAGGAACTGTGCTATTTTCTGAGAACCTTGGTGACTGAGTGCCAGTATATTTAGTGATGGCAGAACTCCCATTCCCTGTGACTGTCCAGCAACATTATTTAGTAGCTATTCTAACATTTCTCCACTATGTGAAGTCTGGCAAAGTAGTTTCTCTGGTTAATGTGCCATAGAAAGATTCAGTCAAAGGAATCTTTTGGAATTGGTTTGTTATGTTTTTATTTATGATTGTTTAAGTACTTTTTCTATCTTAAAATCATTTCAATTTAGAATGCTCATTAATGGATTTAACAAGAATGAGGGTGAGTTTACTTTGCTTATTTTATGGTTTTTAAAAAGAAATTTTTCTTTTAAAGTAACAAAAAAGCAGATGAGGTGGCGTATACACCTGTAATCCCAGTGGCTTAGGAGGCTGAGGCAGGATGATTGTGATTTCAAAGCCAGTCTCAGCAAAAGTGAGGTGCTAAGCAACTAACTGAGACCTTGTCTCTAAATAAAATACAAAATAAGGCTGGTGATGTGACTCAGTGGTTGAGTACCCCTGAGTTTAATCCCTGGCACCCCAAAGAAAGAAAGAAAGGGAGAAAAAAGACAATATTCCTTATTTTTTGCCTGGGTTTAGGGCGTAATCTTCATGAAGAACTGCTTTTTTACACCTATAGAGTATAGATACCTACATTATTATCTATATGCACAGGGTACATTTATAGGCAGTGAGCTAGGACAAACTACATAAAGAGCTGGTACAGGTTCAATGGGTTCTGCTTTGGACACTTTTACTTTAATTTCCCATCAAATAAGCCTTGCAAAGAATATGTGAGATAAAGGTACAGATGAGTTTCTCACAGTGAGGGGTTGGATAGTGTTGGTGGTGGGTACAAAATAATAATAGATTTGGCTGCATGGAGGAACAAGATATTTGGAAACATTGTTCTTGGGAAAGATACAATGTTTATTTGTTACCATGTATTGAAAATTTTTCAATGCTTCAACTTTTAGATTTTTCTCCTCCTGTTTTTACCTTGTTATTAGAACACACCTGCCCCTGGCATGCTGCCTGCTTTTGGAAAATAATCTATCATTTACTTTTTAGGAAAAAGAATCTGTAACAGATCTATCAACAAATAACTTCTTAACTTCTTAACCTTGCCTTACATTGCTATTGTGATGTACTGAATTGACTGTTCTGTTAGATTGTGAAGCTCTGTGAAAGCAGAGCTTGTTCAGCATTAGTGATGAACAATTCACACAGATCTTGAGTATAGCCACATGATAAGCACACTGTGGATCATCAATAAATATTGGTCGAGTAAAAGTTTACAATGTGCCCTTAACTAAAGAATCATGCCTTCATACATGTGAAAAATGAGTTTAGAACGTGCCTGTACAACATAGGCAGAGGATTGATATGCATAAGAAAAAAAAAGAGGCTCTAAAAGCAGCAAAAAGGAAGTTTCAGTGGCTTGGAAGCATATGAATCGGTACTCAACCTCATTCATAACAATAGTAATAAAAGTCAGTGTACTATTGTAGTGAAATACCAGTTTGGCAAAAACCCCAAGCTTTTGTTTTAGGTTTTGTTTTAACTTTTGTGTTTGGTTTGTTTGTTGGTGAGGTTATAATGAAGCTTATACTTTCATGTGTTGTTTGATAAAGTGTACATAACTTCTTTAGAATGCAATTCAATAATATTTCTCAAAATTACAACTGCATGTACTATTTGACCCAGCACTTCTTATAATGGAGTTTATTCTGTACAGGCACATGTGCTAAATGATATAGGCATACTGTTATTGGCTAAAGCATTAGTTTTAACTGCAAAAGACTTGAAAACAATCTTTTCTATTAGAAGATAATTTTCCTATTAGACTACCTCAAATATTAAATACTGTGTCCTCTGGGGGTATGAGTAGAAAATCATATCTTCAAATACATTATTTTACTGATTCACAAGAGTATTCATAGTATTTTATTCTTCTTTCCCTTAGCATGGAGATATAAAACTCCCTACAGAGTGGCATTTGTTGAAAAATTAACCAAGCTTGTTTTAAGTCAGCTGCCTAACTTCTGGAAACTCTGGATTTCCTATGTTAATGGAAGCCTTTTCAGTGAGGTATGTAAAGGAAATAGACTATAGGTGGAGTTAAGTTATTGTGAATTTCTGTTCTTAAATATTTATTTTAGATTTTGAAACCTTAGAAGCTTGAACCCTGTAATTGTCATTTTATGATACTTGGTGGCCACATGACCTTGATCAAATTACTTGATTGTTCCAGGACTCAGTTTCTTCATCTGTAAAAAAAAAAAATGGTAAGGGTATTCATCTCAACAAGTGGTTATAAGGATTAAATGAGGAAAACAACTAAATTAAGAAAAACATGAAGTATTTTCAAGGATTCCGACTAAGTATAATGTCAGGACAAATTGTGAATGAAATTACTTTGGTAAACTATGAACAAATAATAAAGCACAAATAAAATGTTTGCAGCTTGTACACAGGTCTGAAATAATCCACATAACTAGAATTTCTTAATGGGAATGAATTTAAAAATCATGTCAAATTAGCCCCATTTTTTCAACCTACTTGAGTTCTTATGAGCCTTTACATTTTAATGAGCCATGCATTTACTTAATATCTTAATTGCAATGTGCAGATGTCTCTGACTTATGATAGTTCAACTTTACAGTGGTGTGAAAGTGATAACAATAGAAACATCACTTTGAATTTTATGTGTTTCTTAAGCTAGGGACATATGGTGTAATCATCACTTGTGATGCTAGGTGGCAGCAGTGAGCAGGAAAATAGCCCACACACTACAGTTTATTGTGTTACAAGTTATAATATCTATAGATTATATATGTTAAATGCATTTTTAACTTAGGATATTTCTAATTTATGATGGGTTTATCAGTACATAATGCCATTGTGAATTGAAAGGCATCTATAGTTGGCAGAGTGGAAAGTATGAACATAAAAGTAACGACTTTGACTTTTGTGTGTCACACTTGGAAATCAGACTTATCACTTTATGACCTCACATCAGATACTTCACAAAAGGCCTCCATTTCTTGGAATATACACTGTAAACATCCTTTGCCTCTAGTTGCTACCTGGTCCCACCTGTAAGATTAAGAAGATGGTTCTGTTTCTTGATTACAACATATGTCCCTAGCTTAGGAGACACACAAAATTCAAAGTGATATTTATCACTTTCACACCATTGTAAAGTTGAACCATCATAAGTCAGAGACATCTGTACATTACTATTAAGATATTAAGTAAATGTGTGACTCATTAAAATGTAAAGGCTCATAAGAACTCAAGTAGATTGAAACAATGGGGCTATATGACATGATTTTTAAATTTATTCCCATTAGGGAATTCTAGTTATATGAATTATTTCAGACCTGGGGGAACTCTGTATAGCCCTAGGAGGGCTAGAAGAGGTGTGGGGGTCTTCATGAAGGTCTATTTCCTGCTTTTTTGAACTTGACAACATGGAAAGTAGACATGAACAAAGGATAAACCTTTTTTTTTCCAAAAATAAAATGACAACCCCCCCCCCCCAAGATGGCACATTTTTGATGTTTTAGATCCTTCCTCCTCAGTGAGAAGTAGTTAGGTATCTGAATGCTTTAGTGTTCTGTTGAATCTCCTTTGACCATGAGCATAAATTCACTCAGATGTTAAAGAAATAGAATTATCCTCTGGAGGGTTTTTTTTTCCCCTTTATATTAAAACTCCTTGTCCATGATCTCTTCTCTTTTCTGCCTATGGATTCCTAGATCTTTATTTATATGATTGGCTGGTTATCCAACCTATAAAATTTACTTCTTGTATGAAAATGAGAAAAATGGTAGTACATGAAAACCCAAGTTTTTAGTGCTGAAAAACCAATCACATAACAAGTACAATTTTTTATTTCTTTAACATCAAAAGTGTATTAATTACTCTAGAGGTACAATTTTAAATATTAAGGCAATAATTGACAACTTTTTGGCTTTACTTTGTATCACCTGGTTATGCAAAACCTCCGTTCAAGAGTGAACTTTAAAAGAGGGAATCCTATACAATAAAGTGGGGCTTGACTGCTCTTCATAAATATAATGTTGCTTATTGCTAGCTTCGGAAGAGAATACTTTAACTTCAGTTTTGCAGGTCAGCTGAGAAAAGTTTTTCGAGTGCTCTGCTTTCATGCGTTTCACACGTTGATTTGTCTTTCCATGGATCTCAGCTAAATGAATGTGGGCAGCTTGCTGTGCTGGGAACAGGCTTTGGGTCCTTTACCCTATGCCACAGTGGAGAAGAGATGCATCGCTGGCACCACAGCTTCCTCTTCACAATCTGCTCCATCTCTAAACCAACTCACTTATGTGGACAGGAAAGGTTGTTCAAAGATTTTCTCACAACACTAGTGTTACAAACAGAAATATCCAGTGTATAGCACTTACTAGGCATGACCTTTACTTCTCTATGACTACTTCCATAGGGCTGCTTTGAAAATTCATTGAGTTAAAGTAAGTAAAGTGCTTATAACAGTCTCTGGCAGATAAATAAGAGTTTGTTCTTATTATTTGGAATAAAATTTATGCCAGGGCTGGGAATGTGACTCAGTGGTAGAGTACTTGCATAACATGTGTGTGGTCCCTAGATGTGACTCCCAGTACCAACAACAACAAAAAAAAAAAAAAAAAAGAGAAAAAAAATTAGAGTGCTAAACTATTAGAATAGAATTGAATGATGTCAAGGTAGATTAACTCACCTCAAGAATCAGTCCCTTAGGAAATGGATTGTAAGCTATATTATTTGTTTCTAGCCAAATGTTTTTTTCCTCTCATTTGGATCAGTTCCTAAAGGTGAACCACCCAATACAGTCAGTAGCTTGCTTTATTTTGACTCTTTTTAGAGTCATAACGTTTCTAATAGCTTTTGATCTGGGATATTTTAGTGAAAGGGGATATATTTTCCTTCCTTGTAGGTTCTACCTACTTATGGTAAAAATATGAGATATAATTAAGTATAATTTGCTGTACAGATTGAAGCATGTTTTAAAACTCTTTACCATCTATTGAGAAGCTCAAAAGGTAACAAAGGGAAATAGCTAGGAGTAGAAGAGTTGAAAAGTGTGTCCATCCTGTCAGTCTATGAGTGAAATCTAGAAACTTAATACTGAGAAGAATTTTGAGTTTTTTTTTTTATTAAAGAATTTCTTTTTTTAGTTGTAGATGGACACAATACCTTTGTTTATTTATTTTTTGTGTGGTGCTGAGGATCAAACCCGGTGCCTCATGCATGCTAGGCAAGTGCTCTACCACTGAACAACAACCCCAGTCCCTGAATTTTGAGATTTTTGATAGTTGATATTTAACCCATTTGGTCCCATTGTTTCAGATGTAGAACACCTATAAAAACTTAAATTAAGCAACAAGTATACCATTTCTGGTAACTTTGAAATGATTATTATGTTCTCAGAATTGACAACTTGAGTCTTAATGCGTTAATTTCAAACCAGAGAGCTTTATAATATTTGAATACAATTTACTTAAAATTTCATATTTTGTTAATAGAACTATCTTGTTTTATTATTAAGAGTCCATCCGTTAAAGATTTAGATGAAGTTTCCAACAGTTTAAATAAATAGTCAGTTCTTCAAAACCAGTTAGCCCATGTGAAGTAACATAATGTGAATCAAAACAGTGAAATCTAGCCGTTGGTCTTACCACAAAGTAGTTTTGGTCTGTGTGTGCAGGAAAGAGTTAAGGTTTTTAGTTAACGAAATGGTTAATAATAGATTAAGATCTCTCCTTTAGATAGTTTTAAATGTAGTGTATTTTTGAATGAAATTTTTTTAAAGTATCCAAATATATGTTAATAATTGGGAATTCTATCTTAAAAAGTTGTATAACTCATGCAATTAAAATGTACTGTAGATTCCAAAGCTAGATTTTTTTTTTTTTTTTTTAAGTAGGGCAAACCTAAGGAAATTCCTTGTGTTGGGAATGTTCAACTCCTCATCAGATTAAAACAATATGTAACTGTTGTTTCATTAGCAATTGCATGCATTAGACCTAACTCCTCTTTCCCTTCTACTTTGCATATATTTGGAGACAAGTCCCTGAATTTTATAAAATTATTGTCCAGTAGATGTCATCATACATTTATAAGCACCTGTTTTGTGATCAAAATTATCACAAAACATAGCCTGAATTTGAGACATTTGTTGAGTGGTAGAAAGATGGGGCACCAAACCCAGGGCCTGATATGTGTTTGGCAAATGCCCTACTATGGAACCTTGCTCCCAGCCCTTGATGTGATACTTCTTAACTACACATTTTCAACTCATTTTCTTTCATTTAAAAGTATTTACAGAACAACTGACTTTGAAATAATCTTTCTGTTGAACATCCCCCTTATGTACAAAGTTCAGGTACTGTGGAGGATACAATTAGAAAAGACTGACTCTGACAGTTTTATCCTGGCATGTCTCTTCTTTCTTCTATAGCATACCAGAGTAGGAATGTGTGAATCAGGGTTCTCCAGAGAAACAGATCAAATAGGATATGTGTAGGTATACATAACACCCCCTTCTCTCTCTCTCTCTCTCTCTCTCTCTCTCTCTCTCTCTCTCTCTCTCTCTCCCCTTCATACACACACAAGGAGAATTGGCTCACGATTGTGGAAACTGACAAGTCAGGTGTAAAGGGTGAAGCAGTAAGCTGGAGAGGAGACCCAGGAGAACTGGGTCCAGTGTGAAAGTCATCAAGCTTGAGATCCAAAAAAAGCAAATGTTTCAGTTCAAGTATCAAAGAAAAAAAAAAAAAGATGAATACCCCAAGTTGAATACAAGGCAGGAAGAGTTCCCTCAGAAACAGGGAAACAGCCTTTTATTATATTCAGACCTTCAACTGATCAGATAAGGCCCACCCCATAGGGGAGGGCCTCTTGCTTTACTCAGTCTCCTGATTTAAGTGTTAACTTCATCCGGGAACACAGATTCATATTTGAACAAATGCTTGGGCACCCTGTGGCCTATTCAAGTTGACAAATAAAATTAATGATTGTAAGTTTCTTAAATCTTCAGCAGTTCAGAATTCTGTTTCATTGTGTACTTCCTGACAGTGCAGTAGGAGCTGGGATCCTCAGGAGCTTCTGATTTCAACGTGGATAATAGTACTCCCAGTCCCCACACAAAACTTTCAGACTTCTGCCTATACCTTTTGTTGACAACTTAAGTCTCCAGGAAGAACTGAGTGTGTTGAGTTCTTCTGAGACATATCATAGTATTTATGCCTGGCAGATCTCCTTCCAAGGGTTAGTCTGTCACCTTGAGAGCTAGAACTTCAGGTTTTTCAAAAAGCCCTTCAGAGCATCACAGTGTTTAGGTCAGTCATGCTTTTTGAAGTATGTTCAGGAGTATAACCTAACCCCTGGTGGTAATTTCTTCACCAGATATTTATGGAATACACTGGAAATCCTCTGTATGCCAGATACTGACACAAACACATGCACAGGTAGCTACCAATATTACAGACATACATTTGTGCACATACACATGACATAGAATATGCACATACATACATGCATACATTATATGAGTACACGTGCGTATAGCTTCAACATGCATATACATGCAAACATGCACACACAATATATATATATATGCAGACACAAATTCAAAAATAGACATATGTAGTATAAATAAAACAATGACAAGGGTAAGCCTAACCCTTTTCCCTCTTGGAGAGATAGGACCAAAATATATTTTTTAAAAAGTCACCCTAAGTCCTGCAAAAGGCTGTAAAAGAAACAAAAAGAAGCAAAAAAACTTTGTCTTTTACCCTGAGATAAAAATTGTAGTAGTGGAATGGAATGGAGGTAAAATCTCTCTGGATATTTAAGCTGACACTTGGCATATGAAAAAGAAACAATGCAGGAGGGATTAGCAAGCAGTATATGATGAATGGCACATGTGTCATGTGGCATCTGAAAAAATGGGAAAAAAGCCCCAGACTGTCCCTAGCAGACATGCACATGTCAGGAGGAGCTCACTGGGCTGGCCTCCTGTGTTAAAAAAGATCATTTTGGTTGCCTATTCTAAATAAATTGTCAGAGAACGCGAGTGAAGGTGGCAGGAAAGAGTGGTGGTTTTGGATGAAGGTTTTATGTTGGAGAGAAATTGGTAGGCATGATTTGTATTTTGGAAGTAGTGTTGATTGTCTCGCTGGTGGATCAGATGAGAGAGATGAGGGTAGGTTGTCAGATATAGCTCTGTAACAGGTTCCTGAGTGAACAGGTTTGCCATTTTCAGAGCCTGAAAGAGTTGAGAAAGAATGTGCTTGGGAGGAAACATACCAAGTTTCTAAGATAGTGGACTCAAAAAGAGATTGCAATAGGTAATTTGAGATTCAAATATGGGTCTCAGAGAAAACATTTGCACTGGAGATACCATTTGGAAGGATAGAAATAACATTTGAAATTGTAGGAACAATTAGTGGGAGAGTAAAGAAAGAAAAGTGGAGGAAAAGTGTTCACAACATTCAGAGAACAGCACTAGCCCCTTAATGAGCAGAACATTAATTTGCAAATATTTCAGCACTGAGGTTCTATATTACCAGCAGCATGATTCAGCTGGGGAAGGGAGGGCAGTACTGGGAATCAAACCCAGAGCTTCACGTGTGTTATGTAATCCAATTGTGGGATTTTGACTGAGCATTATACTGGACAAAAACAGAAAGCAAGCTAGCAGACTCTGAGAGCTATTTGGACTTGCCTAAGTGGATATGACTCAGACAAGAGGCACAGACAGGTCACCTTCCTTACCACAGTGCCCAGGGTGGTCAGGCTTCATATATATATATATCACATCACTCTCATAGTTTATACACTTTACTTATTTTCATTCATCTTAAAAATAAAGGAAAACATCCATTTTGCTGTACTAAGAATTTCAAGCATCAATGAACCTAGGAGTCAGCTTTTTTGAATGGTTATTGAGCTTAGGGTTTTTATTTATACCTTTAATCCTTTCAAAGCAAAAGTGAATTTCTTCTAAGAAAAAATGACAACTTCATAGTTTAATATAAAATTTAAAATAAGTGTAAATTAGAGTTTGAAGGATGAATATTTATGTTTGTGCTGACCATTTCTTGTCAGTCCTGTCATATATTTTTGTTGGAAACAACCAACAATCTAATCCTTTGTTTACTCATTCATATCAATATTGTTAACAATATAAATTCTATATACTGTTTCTTTAGTTTATACAATGTGTGTATATGTGTTCTATATATCAATAAACACTACTTATATTTTAAAGTTAATTTGAAGTCAATAACATAATCATTGATAATGTGATTGTTTTTAACTTGAAAGGTCTCTTGACATGTCTTTACCCTTTAACCAATAATATGTAAGGGTTTTAATTTTAAGGAATAATTTTTACATAATATCCATGAAATGTCAGAATCTTCTTTCACATGGTGTAATTTTGTTGTTGCTTTTTTATTTGGAATGTTTTCTCACCTTGCCCTCCTAGTATTTAATTGTTAAAAATTGGTTAATAAAATGCCAACTGAAATCCAGTTGAACAGATCTCTCTTTTAATCAATATGAAGTCTTCTACACATTACTTTAAGGAAAAGATGGAGTATGTCAAAAGCAGAAAAAAAAATTATTCTAGAATAGTAGAATGTATTTCTTCCTAAATTACACTGTAAAATCCCTTAAAGAAGAGCTGTAATTTATAATTTTTTAAAATAAAATTACATAATGCTTATATTAAAAAGTATTTACCAGGGAAATAGAATGGATATCCTATGATTACTGTCCCTTAATTTAGAGTTTACTCTTCATTTTACTTTTGTACTATCTAATGAGAAATTATGTTAAAAATGTTATCATGGATACATCATAGTTTAACCATATGGAATTATTGAAATACCATATGAACACCTTCAAAGTTGGTAATTTCAACTTAATTTTTAGATTTATTTATGGGAATTGTTCCTAAAGGTTTTAGAATGGTATGTAACTTTTTGCTGGTATAAGAAAGGTTTTCTAATTCGTCATCTTATAACCAGAAACTTAAATTATTTTTTAACTATCCAATCAAATCAGCTCATATCTCATGTTCTGTGTACAACTTTAAAAGATTTATTTTTATAAATTGTTCCTAAAAGACAACTAATATGTTTTCTTTGTTTTAAAATTTTTAAGACTGCCGAGAAGTCAGGCCAAGTTGAAAGATCAAAGAATGTAAGGCAAAGACAAAATGATTTCAAGGTAAGTATAAGTATGCAGAAATACAGAGTAGGGTTTTCTCATCTGAGGTTTTAAAATCTGAGAAGATTTTACAGTGAAAGTATTTGTTATTGATCAGACTGATGACATTTCAATACATTTCTGCTTGTCCATTTCTAGAAAATGATTCAGGAAGTAATGCATTCTCTTGTGAAGTTGATCCGTGGAGCTTTGCTCCCACTCAGCATCCGAGAGGGAGAAATGAGGCAGTATGGAGGCTGGGAGGTGAAGTCTGAGCTCTCTGGGCAATGGCTTGCTCATGTCATCCAGACCATAAGGTAAGTATAGACACATGGTCATCAAAAGGGGTAAACACACACAAATATACCTTCTTTTTTTTTCGGGGGAGGGGGAGAGTGGACTTTAGTATGGGATATGATGTTTTAATATAGTCAGCAAGGAAGAAATTTTCTTTTTCTCTGACCTGTTGCCTCTACTATTTCTCGCTTATCATCTAATAATGAAACTCTTAAACATTCCTGGTTTTTATGATGGATAAGAAAACCAAACTGTATGTGCATCTTTTCTGTTGCTTAATTCAATATTATTGTTATACCATGATCTTGGTCTTCATCTCCTTTCTTTCGTCCTAATGGTATAGCTTGTGAGCTCTATGAAACACAAGTACAGATGATAAAAGCAATAGGAAGGAATTGCTTCAAGATCCCTTCTGCTAACTTTTGTTTTGTTCTGTTTGTTTCCTAGGCTTACTTATGAATCATTGACTGCCCTCGAAATTCCGAATGATATGTTGCAGACTATCCAGGATCTTATTTTGGATCTCCGTGTACGTTGTGTAATGGTCACATTACAACACACAGCAGAAGGTGTGTTAAGAAAAATTGATAACACTTACTTGGACAATAGTTATCTGAATATACCCTCTTCTTTCAGCTTCCAAATCCTTGAAAATAAGTGAAAAGTACTCTTAGGAAATTCATCTCATTTCTATCTGTTCTTCAGAGGTTTTTCCATTTTGGTATCTTTTCCAATCAATTTAGTTGAGATGAAAGACATGCAGAAGTTGAGGCAGGTATACTTGAAAATAGTTCAGAATATAAGAGCATCCTTTGGGCAAATGTTAAATAGAAAATGTAATATATAAAATATGGATTTGGTTTCAAAAATATGTGTATATTTAATTTTTTTTAATTTAGAAAAAACAATGTAAAACTGAGGAAAGGCTATTAGCAATGGTATTATGAATACTAGAAATTATAGATGCATTTTGATTTTTCTCAGGATTTTCTACATAGAATCATAGAAAGCAGTAAGGTTAGTTTTTATAAAGCAACCTTTTAGGTATTAAATATTTTTGAAAACATTCGAGAACATTGTTAGAAATAACACAAACCATTACTGTCTGCCACTGGGCTTTTTAAGTGGGGAAATCACATCACTGTAGACTTAGTAGTTGATACATTCTACAGCTGAACATTCCCATCTTAATTCATCCCCTCACCCTTTCTCCCCAGGAATCTGTGCCAGCCTGCAATGTTGAAGGTTTGGGCAGTTTGCATTCCTTTAGCCAAGTGAGAACTATGCTGCCTGCCATTGTCAAGAATGTCTAGCATTCAAATAGAATCCATCGTATAAATCAGAAGTTTTAGGGAAAAAAATATTGTAGGGCTTATTTTGTGCTTATCTGTCCAGTTTAAGAGTACTGAATAAGTTATCCTCAATCAAGTGATCATTAAGCCTATTTTCCAAATTGGGCTATGTAATAAAAATTTTTTATTTATATTAGTATTTTATTAGAAAAATCCAGTAAGCAATACATATTTAGTTTTTTTAATCTACAAAATTAAATTCTATTCCTACTTTCATCAGGTTTTTACAAATCTATTTAAAACAATTAAAGCCATACCCTTTGTAGATTTTTATCTTTATAAATATCAGTGAGATAATTATAATGAAAAGGACTGTGTGCTTGTTTTTCTTGTAGAAATAAAGAGATTAGCTGAAAAGGAGGACTGGATTGTTGATAATGAAGGATTGACTTCTCTAGTAAGTTTAAATTCTTTTTCATTATTAGTCATTATTGTTTATTATATTTAAAATAAATCATTTACTACATTCATTAGGAGTATATGCTCTCTGCATTACAACTCTAAATAGTTTTCTGAAAATAGAAAAATGAGCTTTTTTTATTTTTCATTTTTGCTTAATGCTAATCACACTTATTTAACAATTAGTGAAAACAGTGGGTTTCTTTTAGAGTGGCTGCTTTTCGTCCTGTATCACTATTTTTGTTTGCATTAGTTTTTAGAAAACAGATTATCCTTAATTCCATATTACTCAGCAACTTCAAATTTTCAGAAAAACTGGACAGAAGAAATACTTGTTCCAGCCCCTAAGCTTTGTTTAACAAAACAAAAATAACAAGCACAAGTCTTTGCAGATGTGTTTACAGGTCAGGCAGCAACTATAACCATGGTCTGTTCTTTTCATATAGGTTTTAGGGTTTCAAAATACCTATGAATATAGTTTTCATAATTTATCGTGTTTTCATACCTGACTTATGAATCCCCCTAATAATCCTGTATGTGGGTGTGTCAGTAAGATTGGCATTTGCCAATAAAACATCCTAGCGGCGTATATAAGAAAATTTCTTTTTCTCACACATTGGCCAGATAACTCAAGAATCCCATACCTAGAGGCCCTCTGCCTTCTCTGTGGTTCTTTGTACTGGCTTCTGCTCAAGATGACCTCATGATAACTCACAGCCTCACTCCTGTTAGGAAAAAAGTCCAGGACTTTTCTAGGAGCCATGGCTGACAGCTCTCCCCACATGTAGTTGGCATAACACATTTTTGTGTCCACATCCTCAGCAGCAGAGGCAGGGAAGTGAAGTTTTTCAGCCGAGTTTGTGGCTGCTCCCAATTTTAGTCTTACCTTAGTGAGAAAAGGGAGAAAATAAATTGTGGGAAGAATACTTCTGGTTCCTGCCTCAGATAAGAAAACAAGAATAAAATGATTTTGACCAGCTCAGATTTATAAACCAGTGAGGAGCCAGGCTGCTGAGGGACAAAGCGCCCACATAATATTTTTTCTTTTCCTTGAATTTTGAACATCTTATTAACAATCTTCCTTTAGCAATTGGAGAACTTGGGGCTTGTTGTATTTCTCCAAAATTGAAGGCTCTACATTAAGGTGATACAAATATATGCAAGCATTCCTTACATTAAGTAACAACATAGTTAAGCTTAACTTCCTTTTTTTTTTTTTTTTTTTGTTAAATCATGCTTGAAATGAGTTAGAAAAGTTTATTGTTTTTAATAAATTTATTATAATTCTATTTCCAAGAATCTCTAGAATAAAAATATCTTAATTAGATTTACTCCATTTGTCACTGTTATTTGTATTTAAATAAAAGCTATTCTGTATCTTTTTCCCCCTCACATTAAGTTCAAAGAAAAAGATGTGTAGCAACTAGGGCAGCCACTTGAGATCCTATAAGATAGAATGTAAAATATTTCAACTTTTATTATTGATTACATTTTGAAATTATGATATTTGTATATTTTGAATTAAATAAACTATTAAAATTATTTGGTTTTAGTTTTTTTTTTAATGTGGCTACTGGGAAATCTACACTTCAGTTTTGTTCTTGTGGCTCACTTTATATTTCTGTTGGACAGCACTGGTATGGAGGAAATACTGCATTTGATTTAGAATCAGAACTTATCCTGAAAAAGCCAAATAACCTGACTAACCCCTGTGCTTTAATTAGGAAAGGAATAGAATAATTCTTCCCAGTGTTTTGAGTTAAGATTAAATGAGATACTGTGGACTGAAGCTTTTTGTAAACTGTAAAATTTTAGACAAACATAAAGAATCATTATTTGTTAATTGAACATGTGTAATGAATAGGGCCTCCATGGAAATTCCTTAAGTTTACATTATTTCTTATTGTAAAGTCTGTTTTATACAACCCTGTCCTAATTATCATAGCATGCTTGAAGGACAGGTCCAAGAGATCGCTGAACCATCATCCACTGAGTATCTTGCCCCAAATGAAATAGGTATGAGCAAATTAAACATCAAATCACTTTAATTCCTGGTTTGTGATACCTGCCTAAAATTAGTTTTCTGCAAAGAAAAATGGGGGGGGAGTATATGTTCAGTTTGAGAAAATTTAAGTCTCAGTTGCTGTGATTCTGTTTCATTTAAAAAAAAATATATATACACACACACACACACACACACACACTGATGTAAATTTGATCCTCAGCCATGAAATAGCTATTGGGTTTAGGTCCTTCTTCAAGTCAATACTTCTAGCATATATGGTCAGCCCAGTGTGTGCTTCACTGACAGCCACTGTAACCAAAGATGATTTGTTTACTTGATTATTGTAATTGTCCTCTGTGAAAATGACCTGGGATAGTTGCTACAAAAATGTGTTTGTAGTCTGTCTTTAAAGTTTGACTACCCTAGTGCATTAATACCCGTGAAATGGCTAATTCCTTGTTTGACCTGCCATGTAAGTATGCGTAGGGAAAATCTAAACCCCAGTAGACCATGAAACGAATGACCCATGAGAAGGAGCACATTGGGAGTCAGCCAGTACATTTTCTGGTCAATGTCTGTGAAGAAATAAGCCAACAGAATGGATCTGATAATGCCGACCAAGGTTTTAGCCATTCAGCATGGATCTCTCTTAAGAGAAAAAATAAGTCAACACTTAACAGCACAAGTCTAGAATTTAATTTAAAGTAGTTTAACCTTATGTATGTGTGTAAAATTGTTAGACTTTGAACAATGACTTAGTTCTTGCAAAGCTTGTCACATTCCTCTAATTTATATTTTCTTAACATTTTCATACTACCAATCCCATTTGTTTCTTTTCCTGTGAGTGCTATAGGGAAACATTCTTATCACGTTAATGAAATGAATGTTGAGTTTTGCCACCTATGACTGTTATTTCTGCTGAAGTATTATCTTTAATTAGAACTTCCCTTCAGTGCTCCATAACAGCTTACTTGAAAGCATCCTGTTTTCTTTTCATGTTGAAAATGTTTTCTGCCTTTTTTCAATTTGGATAATTCTGAGAATTTTCTTCTTCAGAGTAACTGGAATGATTTGTGATAACTTCTTGTAGAGTAGTCACCTATCTTGGATGATTCACTGAAAATACACAGAGATAGCACTATTTGATTCTTTTTAGAAAAAAGGAAAGACAATTATTTAGACTGTCATTGATTCTCAATTTAACTGAAACTGCTCATTGAGCTTCTATTACTCCCTGTCCATTTATTGTGTTAATATAAATGTAAAAATTTTAAAAGTGTATTATAAATTGTAATACAAGAAACCCTAAGTGAACACACATGAATGTCAGTATTTAACTGTTCATAGTTGAATTTTTCATTTTATTTTCAATATTATGATTATTATCATTGTTTTAACAACTTAAATTTTCATGCCTTCTGAGGCAGGAGGTCAAAGTTTAAGGTCAGTTCATCTAACAAACTTTTTTTTTTTCCTCCATGGTGCTGGGGATTAAACACCAAGCCTCACACATGCTAGGCACTAATAAACATTTTGACTCTTTAAATGCTTTCTGTGCAGTCATCATCCTATATGCCTCTTGTTTTCTGCTTAATACTTTAAAATATTCTTTATGGTGCCCTCTGGTGGTTTAAGAGAGCAATAAAATCATTAAAGCCAAGGCACTATTTTAGCTTTCATTAAGTCAGGGCTATTTTTTTTTTTTTAATTTTTAAAATTTATTTTTAAACTGATACATAAAAGCATAAACATTGTACATATTAATGGGATGTCATGTAATGTTTTAAAATTGCATAATTTTAAAATTCAGATAAACATATCTATCTCTTCAAACATTTGTCATAAAGAAATGGTGATTTTTAATCTATTTTTTACCAAATGGTGCCTTTGATGAACAAAAATCTTTAGCTTTAAGATAGCTGATGTTAGTTGATGTTTTTTTTCATCTATCATAAGAAAGTGTTAATTAGTACCACTTCTATTCAACACGGAATGGAGGTCACAACACGGCAAGGGAAAGGGGTGGAGAAGAACAAACCAGCTAGGAGGTAAGGGGATCATTAAGAATAACAAGGAATTAAAAAAATAATATAACTTGCAAATTATATGATTACGTATCTAGAAAATCGTAAAGAATCTACAAACTATGAGCCTTAAAAAAAGGGCTACTTTTTATAAGGAAATAAACTTGTCTTTTAAAAATATGTATACATTTGTCACTTCTTTCTTCTGTTAGTTTTTTTTTCCCCAAACACTTTTTTAAAAAATTAGTGTGTATTTTGAGGAGAGGTTCATGCTATATTTTGTGCACAGAGATGGTTGGTTGAGCACTGATCCTGCCCCCAGCTCAGTGCCACTTGAATAAATCCTAACCTTTTCTGTGGTGCTTGTGTTCACACTCAGAGATTATGACTTGCTGTCCTTCAGTGCTGGCAGTTTCTTACCCCCACCCCTGCCCATATGCATACTGTCTTCCTCCAGAAAACTTGCTACTTTCCTCCCCTCTTGCTCTTCAGGTCTCAGCCTCAGTATTCTTGCCATCTCAGGGGCTTTCTTTGTCCTATTTAGAGAAGACCTCCCTCTAGCACCATTTTTCTCTGAGTTTTACTCATGATGCTTATTTTGTTATGCAGTTGAAAATTTATATTTCTATGCTTTAAAAAAAACAATTTTGACTGTGATTTTCATGGTTGTATGTCCTGGCTAAAATAAGCATTTCATGAGAATTCTGTCTTACTCATGTGTCACTGTCATCCAGAGTAAAACTTCAGACACACGTAGGAGCCTAAGGTATTAGAATTCATTCAAGCTTATTAGTTGCCATTGGTTGGACATATTTTCAAGTTTCATTTTTTTCACTTAATGTATATATGACTGCAGTTATTTATTTCACTTACAGATCTTATGCATCCTCCAGATCATTATTATTAACATTAGATTTTGTTGAACCATGCCAGAGATGTGGAACATTGAGGAAACAGCTCAACCCAGAATATACCTGGGATATAATAGTGTTTCAAATATAAACTCAAACTGGGTGCACTGGCACACACCTATAATTCCAGCAACTCAGGAGCTTGAGGCAGGGGGATCACAGGTCAGCCTCAGCAACTTAGCAAGGCCTCAAGCAACTTAGAGCCCCTGTCTGAAAATAAAAGACTGGGGTATAGCTCAGTGGTAAAATGCCCCTGGGTTTAATCCCCAATACCAAAAACAAACAAACAAACAAAACAAATAAATAATAAAGTAACATATATGCTCATTATAATTTGGCCCTTATTGCATCATTTGTCAGAAGAGTAAAATTTTGAAGAAAAATTTTAGTGATATTTGAGTTTTCTTCTAGTATAATGAGATGTAATTTAGTTTTAAGATTGACCCACTTAAAAATATTTTAAAGTGCAAAAAGCACATGCCAAATCTAAAACTCGGTGACTAGATTATTATTGGTCAGATTATTTGTATCTCTCTTCCTTTCCAAACTCCTGGAAAATTTAGAGTGCTTGGCCACATTACTTACTTAAGTTGTCTTCATAGCCTGTGTTTTTTAAAAAATTGAATATGGATATTTTTTTCCTTTAGCCATGTCAGTTTGAACAGTGCATTGTGCACTCCCTGCAGTCCCTGAAGGTTGTTCTCGAGTGCAAGCCTGGGGAAGCCAGTGTAAGTTTCTGCTCAATTCCACCTCCATTTCAGAATTTCTTGAGGAATCCTTTCCACAGTTTAAAATTTCTGACTCATTGCCATACAAGAACTTCTTTTCCTTATTGCTTATGTATTTTATTGTTATTATTATTTTTTAGCTTAACGGCAGGATATGTTGATTTCTAATTCTAAGATGGGATGATAAAAGTTAAAATATGAGTACAGGGGTTGTAGGCAACACTTTGTGTATGAAATGAATGACTGACCTGGGTATTGTCAGCCAGCCTGGGACCAGAACTACCCTAGGTAGGAAATCACCTGTGGTCCAACTCTTCAGAGCAAGATGTTCACACATATAGCAGTTTTAACTGTTTGTATTCAACTTTGTAAATAGTTTTATTTTCTTAGAAAGTCCAAAAGTTTTAATCATAATTTTTCTTCACAGGTCTTTCAACAACCTAAAACACAGGAGGAGGTTTGCCAGTTAAGCATCAATATCATGCAGGTAATATTTAACAGCTGTGATACCCAAAGCCTGGGATCATACATGCATTTAATAGTCAGCTCCTTCTACTTATAATATGTATATAATATGTATTTATAATATGTTAAATATGGATTCATATTTGAATCTTTTCTATGTACATAATAGTTTAGAGTAAATAGGGTATCAAAATAGTATTTAAATCTAGGATTAATTCCTGCTTGTTTTAATAATATCTGAATATTTAATTTGTTAATCTTTCCATTTTTGTGTTCTTATGATACTTTATTTCTATTTCCATTAGATCACCCCATTAGAGTAAATTAAATGATAATTATTTGTTTACATTTTATCTGGAGTATAAAATTTTTGATTGGGATCAGTTCTTTCTCTGTAGGCACATTGTATAAACAAAGTTGAAAATGTTAGTGAATGAACAAGGGAAAGAAAAAAGGGTTTTTTTTCCTAAAATATATACAAGAACTTAATTGATCAAAACATAGATGCTTTTAATTTCTATCTCTTATGTGGTATATATTGAAGCAACATACCTGTCACATGCAAATATACCCATATAAATATACTTAATATACCCCAACAACATACCACTGATGGTATAGATAGTTCTATTTCATGAAAAATAATTTTCATGTCACTGAAACTGTCTTTGACTTAGGTTTTTATATACTGTTTGGAACAATTGAGCACCAAGCCTGATGCTGATATAGATACTACACAGTAAGTAAAAGTGAAATTATTTTCATCGACGCATTTAAGAGAATTAAAAATATAGACTGAAGTTACATATTTGGTTTTATATTCTGAGATTTCCAGTAAGAGAGGTAAATTGTTTATATTAAAGTCATGATTTTATGTGGCCTATGCTTTTTCCATGATTTTTTTTATCTTCTGAATTTATTGTAACCATATTACAGACATTTTGAACAAATTTAAAACATAATTAGCTTACAGATTGTCTAAAACAACAGGTTTTATAAATAATAAAATAGCGGGAAATTGTATACCTCCTAGTTGATTACTTTTATATTCCTGGTGTTAGGGTGCTAAACCAGATCTCTTGTTAGAAACTGAGCCTTTGTTTAGAGTTTAGCCTGGGCCAGGCTTAGTTATTTGAGCTCCAGAGAATACTTCCTGACTTGGTATTTACAAATTTATGGGGTGGTTTTTCAAAGTGTGGCTATATTGGACAGTAGTATAAAATGCTGAATTTGTTTTCTTTCTTTTTTTTTTTTTTAATTTTTTATTGTTGGTTATTCAAAACATTACATAGTTCTTGATATATCATGTTTCACACTTTGATTCAAGTGGGTTATGAGCTCCCATTTTTACCCCATATACAGATTGCAGAATCACATCAGTTACACATCCATTGATTTACATATTGCCATACTAGTGTCTGTTGTGTTCTGCTGCCTTTCCTATCCTCTACTTGAATTTGTTTTCTTAACACCAAGTTTTTCTGAGTGTTTATTTCTTAGTACTGGCTTTTGCTTTCCAGTATATAAAACTGTTACCTCTTTGAAGGCCAAATAAGTTTTTAATTCTTCTAGATTTTCTGATTTGATTTTGTATATTTAGTTTATTACATTGCCAAAAATGTGTATAGTTAATCAGAACCTTGATATTATTGATTAAATAAATCTTTCCTTGTTGCTCTGTTATAATTTTTCATATATCAATGTATTAGATAAACAGGTACAATGTATTTCTGAGCTTTATCTTCAGTAGATTTATCAAATATATTTTATATTAGTGCTGTGTTAATTATCTTTGGTTTATGTTTTAATGTTTTTCAGACTGGCCTTCTTTTATTATCTCTGTTTTAAAATATTAGTTGATATTTTCATTGCTTTAGTCTTCTATATTAATTTTAATTTCAGTCAGGTTTAAAGAAAAGGAATGGTATGTTTATGATATGTCCTTCCTTCTGTCTCCAGTTTTGTTTCTAGTTGTTTGTGGGTTATCAATTAATTTCCTAATTCACCTCACCTTTAAGTGGATTACTATGAAAGCAAGCTTCAAAAAGCCCCCTGGAAATTCTGATAGAAACACTTTGAGTAAAATTACTTGACATTTTTTTCCTTTGATGGTTTGTTTTAAATTCATGCCAGTTTTGAGAAGGTCCAAAAACAGTTTTTTTTTTTTTTTAATGGCCCATGTTAATTGATAGCCCACTGTGCCTTCTTTGAGAGATTAATTTTGAAATGTATTTCAGGAAACTTACAGAAAGTTATTTGATTTCTTTGCACCAAAACCTTTTTTAAAAAAGATTTTTAAAAAAACTTTAAAAAGTGTGCATTATAGTTATACCAAAACCTTTTAAAGTGAAATTTATATATAGTTTGTTACATATTTTAATTTCAGTGCTTTAATTGTAACTCTTCTATAATTTAGTCTTTCTGTAGATGTTTCTTCTCCTGATTTGTTTGGAAGTATTCATGAAGACTTCAGTTTGACTTCTGTAAGTAAGCTAATAAAAATAAAGTAGGATGTGCCATTTAAAATTATTTAATGATTAGTCCATAAATCAATCTGAATTACTTTGAGTATTACTTCATCATTGCTGTAGCATGTGTATGAAACAGTGCCTATACACGGGAGCTATGTTATGTTATGTGAAGATTTTAGTAAAGTATAATTAAATGTACTCCATATTGAAAGCTTTTTAGCTGGAGTTGCATTTAAACTCCTGTACACTTGTTGCATCCCTGCAGGTTCTTGAATGTTAAAAGGTGTCCTACTAGTTCTCTGATGTTTGAAAGTTGATCCTCTGGGTAGGAGGCACAGGACAAGGGCATTTCCTCATGTCTGTTGCCTCTTCAGCCAGAGAAGCTCTGCTTTTCCCTCTTTTGTTTCTGTGAGATCCCCTTTTTATTTGAATACAGATTTCTTGGCAAAAACAAAACCAGATCACTATGTATCTGTGCACGCACACATGTATATGCATACACGTGCACACACACACACACAAACACATTTTTCACGTATACATGTACGTGATGATTCAGATATAGACATTGATCATGTAGGCAAACTTAGATGTTGAATCCAGACTCAAGCTATCTATGTTAAAAAAATAACTTCCTCTGATTTGTGATGATGTATTGAGTATGTGTGTGCATGTGCGTGTGTGTGTGTATCAAGAAAAAAGAACATCTGAATTTCCTACCCTGTTATTTGTTATTTCCACAGTAATTTTAAGTATATATTCCTAAATAATAATGTGTTTGGCATATTAGGAAAAGTATTGTCTAGTCAAAGTAGTTAAAAATATTATTCTAGGTTTGCTCATTTGGATGACTAGGTAGAGAATGTTAACCATTCACTGAAATAAACAGCTTCTAAAGAAAGATTGAAAACTGAGTTTGGGAGCATATTTGTCCAATGAGTGACAGAGATAACTTCTGGGTGATTTGATGTACTTGTCTGGATCCTAGAGAGATTTGTGAATAAGCCATACATACACAATAGAAGGCCTAGGAATAGATAAAAATACTAAGAAAAATACTAGTGTTCTGTCCAGCAGAACTTATACTCCGAGTCTCCCCAGACATGGTGGCAGGGGAGTTCCTGCAAGGTACTGCCCTACACCATCCTGGAATGGGGCCTGTTGGGATTTCAAAATGCATGGTGATTAGTCCAAAGCATTTATTAGAATGCTTACATATGGAAGGGCTACCATATCTCCTCTCAGTGGACAGGGGACAAGAGAATAAACATCCACAAAAGGAGCCCGTGTTATGAAATTTAGGTTTAAATAATCTGACTGAGGGTGGGTTGGTTTCCACATACTCAATGGCACAGCTCATCTTCGGGTACCTTTCAGCAACAGCCCAAACAGCTTCCTAATGCCAGAGATAAGGCCCAGCTCAGGTTGAAGCCTGCAGAATAAGACATGCAGCTGACTGGGTCACAGAGGGGTCAAAACATTCAGCCAGGAACAGAAAATGGGGGTTCTAGGAGAACCCACATTAATAGAATGAGATAAAGACCAACATGAAAATAATATTGGGGATATATAACCATTAGTTATAGAGTGACTAACAGAGAGCCTCAGCATTTTCTTTTTCTTTTTTTAATATTTATTTTTTAGTTGTAGTTGGACATAATACCTTTATTTTGTTTATTTATTTTTATGTGATGCTGAGGATCGAACCTAGGGCCTTGCACGTGCTAGGCGAGCGCTCTATGCTGAGCCACAACCCCAGCCTCCTCATCGTTTGCTGAAAAGGAATAATTGTAGAGCGAGAAGGAAATCTTGGTAGAGCAGTGTACTTTGAACAGGCGGAAAAGAGCGTTTAAGCAAAGAGATGCTGAACAATCAAACAGAGGAGGATCAGGTTGTGGGAGATGAAAACTCAGCTTTGTGGGCTGTGTTGTAGGAGCTGCTTCTGTAGGTTAATGAGGGAACAGCTGATTGTCCTGGAGGAGAGTGACAGGAGAAGGCCACACACAAAGTTTAAACCAGTCTTTTCATGTGAACCTGGAAAGAAAGAATGCTAGAGAGGGTTGGGGCTGAAGGAAAGGTCTTTGAAATTGATAGACCTTCCATCCATCTGGCCAACCGTACTTTTTCCTCCTTCTTTCAGAATAAGCTTAATTTGTACATGGTAACTTTTCTAGTGTTTGAAAACTGCTTTGCTTTCTTTTATTGATGCCTTGTATCCATTTAGGTTATTTTTCGACTGACTTGTGGATATTCCCAGACATGGGGTTGCTGCTCTGAGCCTAAATCTGTACCTCTTCAGAGGTGGAGCATGAGAGCAAGCACAGACTCTCTGTGACTTGCCTCCTGTGAAGAATCAAAGTTGTCGCTCTTGGCTCACACTGAGCTTATGCTCAGAGGCTACCCCACTCCTGTGTTTTGTACTTGCTGATATCAGCTTGTCCTGTTTTATTCACCAAAAATTGTCCATTTGTTACCAAATTCAGTTCCTATTTTTCCCCATTGGAAGATGCCTTTTTAATTTGGCCCATGTTTTCAGATGATTTCTATCTTAGATCTTTTGTTATCTAAACGGGAGGCAGTTATGGTTAGAAAGAGATCTAGATTTTGAGTCAGGGAACACAGGTTCACATCCTAGTGTGTGCCTTATTCACTGTATAACCAGGGCTATTATTGAGGACATCCAGGCTTGGTCCTGTCCTGGATAACTGAGAAGAAAATAATACCTCAGACCATATTTTTTTCATCTGTAAGTGCTGTATTAGATCAGTTTGAGCTGTTTCTTTTCAAAAATACGTTTCCCTCTAAGGTGCTAATAATAAGCTTTTGATTAACCATGCAACTCTAAGAATTTGATTATGGTGTTCATTTGTTCTTCCCACTTTTATTTCATCTGATTGATTAGATTTGAGAGAAAAATATGCTTACTAAATGTGAGACTTGAACTCAAGAAGTTTTTCTGTTTTTGAAGAGGAACTATATATATTACAATGGGGAGAATCAAGCAAAAAGAATTCACTACCAGTGTAGAGAAGACTCAGGAGGCTGAGTTTGCTGGTTATGAAGCTTTTTGACTCATAAACTGAGAAAGCAGTTGAGGTTTCTGAGGAGTATATCATGTTTGGAATGACTGATGAAATGTCCAGTTTGCTTATGCCCATGTGCTTTGAAAGGACTGCATAATGGCAGAAGTAGGCTTGGGAACAAGAGGGGGAGATATGGTCTTGCCATTCCTGGCTTCATCTGTACAAATTCTAGCACTTACCCATTGCTTTCTTTCTGGTACCTTTTCTGCCACTTATCCACTTAATATGGAAAAAGTTTTATACATAATATCACCCTGTTAACTTTGTTATATGTCCCACTTCCTATCCACAAGTTGACTTAGAGCCATTAGCAATTTTTTCATTTGTTTGAAGTTACTTTAATTAAATTTTTTGGCTTTCTATTTGTGTTTGATTAGGACCAGAAAGGGCAGTGAGTAGGCTATACTCTGCCAGAAATAAAGATGAGAACATTTTAAATTAAAAAAACCTGGATATAGCTGGGTGTGGTGGCATATGCCTGTAATCCTAAGGACTTGGGAGGCTGGGGCAGGAGGATTGCAAGTTCACAGCCAGCCTCAGCAAATTAGTGAGGCCCTAAGCAATTTAGTGAGACCCTGTCTCAAAATTTAAAAAGTTAAAAAAAAAAAAAAAAAAGCTGGACATGTGGCTCAGTAGGTAAGTACCCTTGAGTTCAATTCCTGGTTACCTCCCCACCTGCTCGACCACCGCCCCCAGAAAAGAAAGAAAGACGTTTAGAAGGTCTATGGATACTTGATTGAACTAAGTGAAGTTATTGGAAAATGCAAGGTTTGCTTGGCAATTGAGTTCAAAGGCTCTAGTTCATCCTTGGTCCATGTAACTCAAAGAACATCATCCTATTTGTAGCTGCCTTTTCTATACTGAACTACATTATTGCAAGTTATTCTTTTTCCATACAGAAAGAATATGCCAAATGGGGTTGAGAATTTTTCCTAGACAGTGGCTTTGCCTTAGTTTTAGTCAAGGATCTTGAGTTAAGGCCCTAGATGAGTCACAGTTGTTCCAGAGAATGCTCTCACACCAGCAGGAGTACAAGACCCCTGGCCTCAGTGACCACAGTAGCAGCCTCAAGGGTCATTCCCAGAATTTAATCTACAAACACAGTTCCTTTTTATAAGAAATTACTTAAGTGGAACAGGACCCTGGAGAATGTACCAGCAAATGGAGCTCTACTCGTTCCACTTGACTGACCTGATCACTTCCTGTGGAAGAATCCCCTGACCTTAAGGGACCCTCACTCCCTATTAGAAGGAGATTATTCCTACACACAAAAAAAGTTCTTAAAAGCCTGAAGTTTTGAAGGAGCCTATCAAACAGATAAAAGAGTAGTATTATTCTCTTTCAAGTTATAAAAAGTTTATAAACAATTTTTCTGATAATTTCTATACTTTATGTAGTTATTTAAGGTATCCATTTGTATAACATTTTTGTGTACATAAAATTGGCATAATAAACATTATTTGATTTTTCTTTTTATTTTTTTATTTTGGGGGTGGTTTTTATTTTTTTATTTTTTATATTTGAATGTAGGGCCTTGCCCATGTGAGGCAAGCACCTATGCCTGAGCACATCTCCAATTCCTGTTTGACTCTTTAGTGTATTATGTAATCATAAGCAATTAGTAGAACTGTAGAATTATGTGATGTTTCTGCCTATGTTAATGTTAGGAAAGACATAGTCAAGAAAAGGAAAGCATGCAATATAGAGGTTAAAGAGCAAGAGATTGTAATTAAATTTAAGAAGTGATAAGGTTTATCTTTTACACTTGCCATGTGTTACTATAAATGTATTTCTAAAGATTTGTTCTTCTTTTAGGAGCAGCGACTTTTGATTGTCCTGAGTAATTGCCGCCATCTAGAACGTCGTACTTTCTTAAATATAACAGAACATTTTGAAAAGCACAACTTCCAGGGAATAGAAAAAATAACACAGGTAAATGAGTTAAAGTTAAGTGGACAAATTGATTGTTTTCTGAACTTTGTTTACAAGCTGTTTTCTTGTCCTTCATTTTTTTTTTCTTTCCTGTGCTTGTTCCTTTCCCTTGCCTTCCCTACAGCCACTTCCTTCTGCTCTCGCTCACACTATCTTTAATGATTCCCTTCCTTCTCATACCTCCCCTTGAACAGTTAATTTAATGCCAGCTACTTTCTGTAGAACAATGTTTGCAAAGTTAGATATGTTTCACTCCCCACCTAAGCTCTTTAAAAGTGACGGAAGAAAGTAAGATCTAGGTATAAATGTCAGATTTAACTACTTTTAGGGTAGAGCTTTTAGATATGACCAAAAGCAAACTCTCTGAGCCTGCGGATAAACCTCTTCCTGCTGATCCACACCTCTCTTGCCTCTCTTCCTTTCCATGTGACCACAATGATGCTTTTGCTGTACTTCTCAAGCATGTGTGCACACACATGCATGTGCCCAGCTCATAACAGCTGCAGGATGCTTAACATCTGAAAAATACATCATTGGATATAGAAAGATATGGAGAGGTTGGATAAAAATAAGTCCTGTACAAATCATTTGAGTGGTTTTTTTTTTTTTTAAATCTATATTGTTATCTCTTGTTTATATATTTTTTCAAGTAAGCATAAAAGGAAAAAATGAAATAACCTTGTTATTAAAGTTTGGTTGGTTCCTGGGCAAAGGTTTATCAGATTTCTAGGTAAAATGTTGTTAGAACCACTTTTTAATGTCAGTACACTTTTCTCAATGCAAAGAATAAGAAAGATAATGATCTTGTTAATCATATAATCAAAGTGTACTGTTGGTGGATTGCATACTTTTTATAAATGATGGTTCCAGTTCATGAACTAGATTGGGATTTTTTTTTTTCTTCAAAGAATCAAAATGTCATAGTGGGCGGCACTGTCTTGTTTTCCTGCCTTTTCGTAAAGATTAATCATCCTGATGAGAAATGTTGTAACTTAAGGCTGTAGGGCCAAATGTCTAGTTTGTTTCCAGAAATTTTTGTGTAAAGAGTTGCAATATGTTGTCTTACAATAAAAAATTACTATGTGTAGAATGTGGATACATTAATAACATGAATATTTTATTGGAGAAATTTTGTTATTTTAAAAATATATGAAATGATTAAGAATTGCGTATAAGAGAAGCAATAAGTTTGATTTTTCTCCAGATTTCTGTGAAGTAATAATTAGAAACTTTCTGTTGCTTAGGTTTATATCATTAAGATGCAGAAAGTATTAAGGATCTGGGAGTGTATCATAGATAGGCTTTATTCCCACTCAGAACCTGAATTTGGATTTTTTAATAAATTGATCATCTTGAATACTTATAATTATTTAGTTGTGGTTGAAACCAATAGACAGTACTCAAGATTTATATTACAGCATTTCTCCTGTTTTGTTTTGTTAGGTGTTGAACCCTTTATTTTCATGATGTCCACCAAGTAAATTATTGCTTGCACTCAAGGAGAAATGTTACCAACTGCCATCATTTTTCATATGGTTCTCTTTCCAAATGACAGATGATTCTAGAGTTATCTTAGAAAAATCACAGGGCACAAAAGGTCATAGTTTTCAATTCTCTTCTCTGTTTCTGCTCTTAGAGATAATTGTTCACTAGAGGGCTTTTCATGTGGTGTCACTGGACATTAGAACTTCTCTCAGACCTCTTCCTGGTGTGATCTGGTGGTTGACCAGATTTTCTTCCAGGTATATTTCCTCCTACATTTTTCTCTTCTTAACCCTCACCCCACAATTGCTAGATGTTTTAGTCAGCTTTTTTGCTGCTGTGACTAAAAGACCTGACAAGAACAATTTTAGAGGAGGAAAAGTTTATTTGGGGGGCTCATGGTTTCAGAGGTCTCAGTCCAAAGACAGCCAGCTCCATTCCTCATGGCTTGAGGTTGGGCAGAACATCACAGTGGAAGAGTGTGGCAGAGAGAAGCAACTCAAATGATGATGATGATCAGGCAGCAGAGAGAGACTAAGCTCAGTTTACCAAATATATACCCCAAAGGCATGCCCCCAATTACTCACCTCTTCCAGCCATCCCCTACCTACCTTCAGCCATCACTCAGTTAATCCCATTAGAGGATTAAGGCTCTCATGACCTAATCATTTTCCCTCTAAAACTTCTTGGATTATCTCACATATGAGCTTTTGGGGGACACCTCATATCCTAGCTATAACACTAGGGATTGAACTGAGGGCCTCAAGTATGCTAGAGCGGCATTCTTCCACTGAATTATACCCCTGCCTTCTTTCTAGTTTCTTATTGCTACTTCATTCAGTCAGTAGAAGACTGAAAACAATCAATTTTTAAATTCTCTTCATCTTGCTTCTCACATTAAAAAGTAGAGTTGAATTCATAGGAACAATATACAAATAACCATGCTTTTTAGGATTTTAACATTAGAAACCAGAATGATTTCGTATGTATATTTTTACTCTATACAAATAATCTTGAGAAGTCAGTAAATAAATAAGCAAATAAATAATGGATGGCATTATTAGCCCCATATTCTTCATAGGAATGATGTTCAGAGAGGCCAAGGACTTGACCTGAAAGTAGCAGAGCAACCAGGACTCAAAATTTAAGTTTTCTCATTACAAATCCAAAGTGTTTCCTGCTCTAACATCTTAAAGAATGAAATTATTCTCATGAAAACACACCCCCTCCCCTCCCAAAAAAAGAAAAGAAAATGAAGCTTGTTGATTCATTTAATGGTAATTCATATAGTCAGAATATCCAAATCATCTTGCCCTACAAGGGAACCTCACCCTACAAAGTTCCTCCATGTTGAGCCTTCATGGGTCTTTGTGCTTTTTGGATCCCAGACAACAAATGACATGTACCTGAATACTTTGTTTTTCTACTAAATAAAAGTAGAACCCAACTGTTTTTTGGTTTTTTTTTGCGGTGTGGGGGGGTAGGTACTGAGAATTGAATGAACCTAGGGGCACTTGCCCACTGAGCCACATTTTGTATTTTATTTAGAGACAGGGTCTCAATGAGTTGCTTAGTGAGGCTGGCTTTGAACTTGTGATCCTCCTGCCTCAGCCTCCCAAGCTGCTGGGATTACAGGAATGTGCCAACGCACCTGGCTAACATTGTTTTTAAAAAGGAAAAAAATGGGACTGAGGTTGTGGCTCAGAGGTAGAATGCTCACCTGGCATGCATAGGGCATTTGGTTCCATCCTCATCACCACATAAAAAGAAAGGTATTGTGTCCACCTACAACTAAAAAAAAAAAAAATTAAAAAAAAAGGAAAGTAAGAAATTTAATCAAATAAAAATAAGAATTGTGTTTTATGCACTAACCAAAGGTAAGTGGTACTATTTTAGCATTTATAGTAATTAGTATTTTATATTTACTACACATCTATATGTTATAAAATTACAAATAACATTTTTTCTGGGTTCATTTATATTGAACATATATTTCTATTGAATATTCTGTTGTGAACAGTAATATTTTTATTAACTATTTTTGTAAAATATGAATTTTAGGACTTACAGTATAGGTTAATATGAAAATACCGTCTTATTTTTTAACCTCTCCCTTAGTAGGAACCCTAAAGTTATTTTCCATTTTTACTGTTGTTGTTACTAAGAAAGAGTGATATGTGACTGTATGATCAATATGATTCTGTAACACGTGCACTCAGAAAAGTGAGAAATTATATCCCATCTGTATATGATATATCAAAGTGCATAAATTCATTCTATTGTCATGTATAACTAATTAAAACAAATAAAAAAATTTTATAAAAAAGAATGATACTCTTTTATCATATGTCTAATTACTTCCTCACAGTAGATCCCTAGAAATAGACTTATAGCTCTGAAGACTTTTGGCAAGTATCACCAGATTGCTTTTAGAGAGTTGATCTTACCACATTTTTGGTCTCATTTCTTATTACAATGTCCATTTTGAGAGGTAAAAAGACTCTTTCATTATATTTTAATTAGCATGACTTTCCCCTTTAGGGGGATTTGTACTTTTTCATCTGTTTATTGACTGTTTATGTTCTAGAAGAACAAGTTTTGAAGGCAGTTAGAGAGTTAAAGAAATACACAGAGTTTTGTACTCTTAACTGTGCAAACCAAATCTGCGTAAGTCAAATTCTTTGAGACTTCTGAAAAGGGAAAACCAGAGCAGTATAGTTAATAAACTTTAGCATATAGATTTTTTGTGGTAGTTCTAATAATATAATGCCAGGGAACTTTTTAAAAATCATGTGAAATATTATTTTAACCTTGTTCCAGTCTTTAAAAAACAAACATCTAATTTAGAGTTTATGTAATCATATTTTTTCCTGACTTGGGAATATGGACATTAAACAAGTCTGGCATTAAAAAATTCATGATTGAATTTTTATTTAAGCCCCTAAATCTCTTTCAGAAACTCTAACATGGAAGGTCTGAAGAGTATAGTTTGTTTTTCTTAATATGTGCAGGGAATCTGAATTAATTTAAGTTAGTCCATGAGAATGATTATGTCACCCTCCCCTTAATATTTTTGTTTGCTGTACTTGTAATTTGTTTTTTCTTCATATTGGGAATGGTTTCCTCAGTTGATTTCATCTACCCTATAGCTTTATGTACCACTAATGACTGTGATTCCCAAATCCTTTATCTTTAACCTATGTGTCACTCCTACACTTCAGATCCATTTCCCACCAGATTTCTTCACTAGAAGTTTTCATTGATGCATTCCAGAATTAGCATGCCCAAACAGGAGTCATCTTCTTTCATCCTTTATACCATTTTCTTTCTCTTTTGTATTTCCTATATTAGTAAACATTGAGTCCTCAAGCCAGAATTTTGGAATTATTCTCTTTTATTTCTATTTGTTTATTTTAAATTGACATAAAAATGTATATATTTGTGGAGTACAATGTGATCTTTTGATATATGTATTCATTGTAGAGTGATTCAGTCAGACTTATTAACATACCCATCCC